ACAGAGCCAGGAGTAACCCCTGAGCACCTATGGGTGTGATCCAAAAAAGCAAAAAAAAAAAAAAATAGAATAGCCTGACAAGCTCCCTGTGGCGTATTCGATATGCCAAAAATAGTAAAAAGTCTCACAATGGAGACATTACTGATGCCCACTCGAGCAAATCGATGAACAATGGGAGAACAGTGCCACAGTGCTACAGTTACAGCCACACTGTGGCTATGGTCTGGAAAGAACCCCAACCTTTGAAAGTGACACAAAGTTCCAAGCTCCCAAAAGAGATGGCTGGACAACTTGGCTAGTCACAAATCCGTGGGTGCCAAAAATAGACAATGCGATTCAGTGGGCCAGAGAAAGCAGTTTACTCCTCACAGTTCAGCAAACATCTACAGGGTCCCTCAGCCCTGTGCCACACACCACACAATGGAACCAGATTACAGCTTGGCCCAAAGTGGATACACAGCAATTGAGGACTCCAAGCTAATGGTTCAGCAACTCTTGCAGCGAGCCATAAACCAACTATACTCTTCCCCTGGGGTGAGCGCTATTAAATAGTCGTGCTGGGTGCCATGGTTTGTAATTGACTTTGTGACAATAGGAACAACTCAGACTCAATTAAGTGTTAGCTCTTGCAGCTCAGCTCAGTGAGAGAATGTGCAGAGATGGTTTCCCTTTTTCCTTGGGAACACAAAATTTCTTTATATGGAAGGAAGTTGGAAGCTAGTGTCTGCATCTGCCTCTCACCTCCCAACCAGTGACCATTCCAGGTCAGGTACATCGCCTTGAATATTGATGATCAGGCGCAGAACTATCACGGTCACTGTTCTCCCGTTGTTCATCAATTTGCTCGAGCGGGCCCAGTAACGTCTCCATTGGAGACTTTGTTGTTACTGTGTTTGGCATATTGAATACCTCACGGGGAGCTTGCCAGGCTCTGCCGTGCGGGCGAGATACTCTCGGTAGCTTGCAAGGCTCTCTGAGAGGGGCGGAGGAATCGAACTCGGGTCAGCCATGTTGGCTACTTGTAAGGCAAATGCCCTACCACTGTGCTATCGCGCAACATGCAGGGGAAAGATGGATACCAATGCAGGATGGAGAGCAAGAGAAGTGGTAAGAAGGGGTCAAATTAGCCGCTACCCAAAGCTTACCTAGGTCATTTACTTGATTTCAAGCCTGGATAATTGAATGTGCAGTCCTTACCCTTCCAAAGCCTAGTTTATTTGTCATTTGGGCATGGAAATAAAAAGAAATCCTGGGAAATAGCTGATGGAACAGAGCACAGGCGTGGCATGTTCAAAGACCTAAGTTGGAGGGCTGAAATACTACATGCCACATAACTGTCCAAGTTCTGTGGAGCCATCTCTGGCCCCCAGGTCCTGCCAAGTGTGGTCCCTGTGCAAAAGGAAGACCTGATTTTCCATTCAGCCCTTAGCAGATTTTCTCTCCAACCCCAACTTTATACCCACTCAGATAAAATCTCAGATACCTGCTGGGAATAAAGATTCTTCCTACCTCATCCCACAGCCCCTGATTTTTAAAGACTTTCGACTCAGAATCCAGAAGCAGAGATTTTGAGGGACAAATTTGCTCTGGGGAAGCCTTCTGGCGTTCTAGATTCTTGAATAGATGGAACTTGATCTACATGAAGGCATCTGATAGACGCCTTCATTATTATTATTCACATAGAGCTTTCTCTATGTGAATAATGCCTCTCTCTGTGGGAGCATCAGAGTTGGACTACACTTCTTTGACAATCGTCTGATTAGTCTCTAGGGAACCCCTGATTTGAATAGGAACACCACACTGTCTAATGTGGAATGGGTAGGATTTTCCCATTCTGGACTGTCTTGGATTACAGAAACCTTGGTTTATAAGTGCTTACTATTTTGAGAGTTTAATGACCCTACAAGCTCAAAGAACCTCCCATTAAGAAAGGAAATAAAAACTGATCTTTCCAGCCTGGGTTCTTCCTTGAACACTTATCTCTCTCTGCTTTTTTCTAGTCTTGAGAAGCCTGTGTTCTCTCTTAAACAGATATTCCTGTCTGTCTTTCTTCTTACGTCTTCCTAAGTAAAAGTTGTTCAATAAAAAAAAATCTTATAGTACAGTGGATAGGGCACTTGCCTTGTATATGTCAAACCTGGGTTTGATATAGTCCCCCAAGCCTGCTAGGAGTAATCCCTGAGCACAGAGCACAGAGTCCTGAGTTCAGCCAGTTGTGACTTCGATCCCCACCCTCCCACGTTAAAAAAAAAAAAGGAAAAAGGAAAAGAAAGAAAGGAATGGAGTGCTCCTTTCTTAGCTGAGGAATAATCTTGACCTAGAAGGCATGTGACTTCCAGGAGATAAAATCAAAATTGAATTGTCATTCTGTGCAAGGTAATTCCAGGGTAGAGTAACTTAAGTGCTCAGGCATTATGCTGTGGGATTTTAATGTCTTCAGGATGGTCTCTTCGGGTTGACCATGTTTTCATTGTAATTGAAACAAAAGAGCCCAGTGGCAGTCTTCATTGTGGGTGACAATTCATTAAACCCAGAAACTTAGAGCACAATTGCCTACGGGTTTTGCCCATCTTTTGCTGTAAAACTTTCCTCATTCTTTAATCAACTCTTAATCCTCTTGATCAACAAAGCCTTGGGTGTCCTTTAGTTTTTCATCACTGTGGTACTGTGCACTGCTGGTACATTGCCCTCATGATGCTCCTAGCTATCATTTAAAATCAAGCAGGACTACTTCCTCCCTGATGCATCTCTGCATGCTCTCCTTGCCCCTACTTTCATCTGAGAACAATCATGAACCATGGTTCCACTGGGAAGCTTATTAAATTTTCTTTCATATCACTCAGCCTCTTTCTTCTGACTCAATAATAGGTAGAGAAAGAACAGATCACTCATTACCCTTCTCTGTAACACTTGGGCCGGCCAGATCATTTAACCCCAGTTCCCAAAGACTTGGGATCCTGGTCCATGAGCTCTTACATATTATATTAATCATGGTTCAGGAACCCTTCCCTGTGTTCTTACTAGAACTGTCTAACATGTCACCCTATTTGTTACAACATCTGCCAGAATCTCAACCTCTTCTAAAATGGCAAGAAAGTGAGAAGATGACTAAGAAAGCAAGCAAGTAGGTTGTCTTGTCACAACTCCATGGGTGCAAAAGTATGTAAAAACTTAAGATGTTTTGTTACTAAAAACGCAATGAATAGTGGCAGGTTTATCATAGCAGGACCTCTCCTGTCCCAAACCCAGAGCAGAACAATGGGACCACATGGTTGCTACACTCAGAAGGATCCATCACAGTTGAGACTCTAAAGTCAAAATCTGTATAATAGGTAAATCTTCTTGATTTTGAGAGCAAATCCAAGCCTTCCCCAAGAGCAAAACAGCTACATTGCCTCTTTTGCAAACCACAATACCCAATAAGAGAGAGAGAGAGAACAAAAGGGAATGCCCTGCCACAGAGGATGGCGGGGGGGGGGGGGGGGGGATGAGAGGGATACTGAGATCCGTGGTGGTGGGAAATGGGTACTGGTGGAGGGACAGGTATTTGATCATTGCATAACTGAAACCCAAGCACAAAAATTTGTAAGTCTACAACTCTACCTCATGCTGTCTCACTAATAAAAATTAAAAAAATTAAAATAAAGCTACATAGATATCAATGCTATGGACCTACTTTAATGCCAATATGACTATCTACAGAAACTGTTCTGTCAGGGAACAGTTAAGTCTTGCATTGGGCATAGCCTGAAATTATGTTCAGAGACCACTAGGCTTTCTTGCCAAAATGGTAGTTATTATCTGTCTTTTAGCCTAAAGAAATATTTAAGGGAAATAGTTTAACTTAGTATCAAATGGTTCAATAAGATTATGTATGTGTGTACATGCGTAAAAGAGAAAAGAAAATGCAAATGGTAAAGCAAAATGTGTGAAATGTTAACAGGAGTTTACTCTAGGTCAAGGATATAACAGCATACCTTGAGCCATTCTTACTTGATAGCACAGCGGTAGGACGTTTGTCTTGCACGAGGCTGATCTGACCAACCCAGATTCAATTCCTCTGCCCCTCTCAGAGAGCCCAGAAAACTACTGAGAGTATGTCACCCACATGGCAAAGCCTGGCAAGCTACCCATGGTGTATTCGATAATGCCAAACACAGTAACAACAAGTCTCACAGTGGAGATGTTACTGGGCCCACTCGAGCAAATTGATGAACAATGGAAGGACAGAGGACAATGGACAGCACTTGCTCTGAAATTAACCAAGATTTTTAAAATATAATCTTAATTTTATGCTTATCATTCTATCCAAAAACCTATGACTCCACACCAAATACCATAACAATGACAATGACAACTGTGTATTAATTGCAAAGCATTTATTTTACACAGTCCTTCCTTCCTTATTTGAAAATATCAAGTCAGGTTTCTCATGTGGAAAGAAATGCCATGCTATTGTTCAACATCTATGTAGTCTTATACTGCAGGTGTCATGGTGAAATCCCCAAACTTCATATCAGTTTCTGCAGAAAAATAAAACCAGTAATTTTGATAATTGGGAAAAATAAAAAATAAAAATCTGTATCTAGGAAGAAAGAAAGCCATTTCAAAGAAAGGCGATTCCTTTCATCTTTTGGAATTTTGGTCAAGTCATACATCATTTGAGGATAACAAAAAGGAAGAGCCAAGAACAGAAGGAAATAGTTTGCAATTAAAATCTATGTTTTAAGGAAGTCACTAATTCATATTAGATGTCTCATGTGCCATTCCTATTAATTAGTACAAACAAATGTAGTTGCATGCTTATGGTGATTCAGGAGATAATACTTAATGACCCAAGCACTAGTATCCATCTCTTAGAAAAACCTCAGAGTTGCAGTGAAAGAACATACTAGTGAAGGGTTTCCATCTGGTTTTGACACACCCAGATGATACTCAAGACATACATGCTACGATCAGCTCTGAACTGTTCATTGCCTTTTATTTTTCTTTTCTTTCAGCTAGAAAATCTGGAGGCAGAAACTGCTCCATTGCCCTAAATTCCTCATGCCATTCAACCCTCACTGATCTGGAAAACCACGGGGACTCAGTAGCAAATCACTGCAGGACATTTGGGAGGCTCTAGTTTCCTAGGAAAGAGCCACCTTCTGGATTGCCAAAACCTTTTTCTCTCTGCACATTTGAAGAACGTGAAAACTAAGTTAAACACTGGGAACGAAAAAGAGAACGAACTAACAAGTTTAGTTTATGTACCTAACCACCGAGAAAATGCCCACTGGGATCAAAATATGCCATGGTATGTGAATTGAGTTCATCGTGCAAGATGACTCTTCTGTATCATATTTTATTTCCATGCAAATATTTTTGACTTTATTAAAGAAAAAAATCAATTGTTAAGTTTATCGTAGTAACTCATAGAGTAAAGGCTACCTCTCTGACCAAAGTGCTGGTATGGAAAGTTCAAGGCTTTCTAGCCTTCTGTAAGTGAATCTTATTCACTCTATTTTTAATTTAGTGTTAATTTTAATATTGCCTTCTGTTAAAGACATGTTCTCCACCTTCATTTGTGGGTGTGTATTTATTTTCTTAAGGAATAATGTCTCTTTTACCTAGCATCTTAATTGCGAGGGAAGAGAGTAACTTGAAAAGTAATCTGAAACAAAGAGATATGTCAACCGTATAAAGGTGGATTCTTGTGTATTGTGAGCACTTCCAGAATCGTAATAGATTTTCCATTTTTAGGCTTTTAGCGGTTTGCTTCCAAGTTTTAACTGTGCAATTCCCTTGCTTCCATCCAAGTGTTCACCAATGGTAATAGTGGGTCAATGAGCTCATCACTTTATCCATGCAGGAAGTCAAGCATTAAAACATACTCTACATTTTCTGTATTTTCTCCATATGGCATGTTCCGATTATATATTATTCTTTTTAAACTCTGCTTAGGGCACGTATGCCTTTTGAATCAGTGTCACAAGATGACAGATGCTCTCCTGAGTGTCAGAAGTTTCAAGTTTACACACACACACACACACACACACACACACACACACGCACACAAATCCATACTTTTAACTCATAACAGGAAGACTATGTCAAATGACCATCAAAAAAAACGGATGATCTATTTTTCAATCCTGTATACTTACTTGGACTTGAATTATTAAGAATGACCCAAAAGTATTCTCCTGAAGATTGTGTTTCTGTAATGTCATCACTGATATGTTGCTCTTTTTCATTTCTGCTAAATGTCAAGTTTTCCTTTGTAAAATGTCAGTCACCTAAGTAGTTTTTCTAAGACAATTCTCTTTGACTGGTTTTCTTTGGTATGAAATACAGTGAAGATTTAGAAATCACCCGTTTTATTGGATTTGTACCAGTCAGGTCCGATGGCATATATGAAAGAGTTCTCTGCTTTGAACTATTTTGTAGTTGTTGTTGAGGTAACCTGAGTATATATAACTTTGTACTTGTTTTGGTAGGATACGCTCAGACTTTTCCAAGTGCTTGATACCACACCACAACCACCAATTAATGACCCTCCAACACAATCAATTCAACTGCCTCATCTTTTGGCTACCACCTCTTACCTTTTTACCTTGAGTAATATCAATTCTATCTGAATCCAAAATATATATAGTAGTACATATTTTGCTTGTTGATAGTCTACAATTCATAAAATTATAAAGTATAATCTTCCACCTTTTGAATTATTGGACTTAGCATAAGATTCTTTTCAGAAGATATGCATCATTTGTCTTTTAAACTGTTATTTTGGTCTGAAGTGATTAAATAAGTCAAAAATACGTAGTTATCAATAAAGACATATGTAGAAAATGTTGCCAGAATCCCTGAAGAAAGTACTCAGAATCTGCACACTCCCAGACTTGCCTTTTAAACTCATATCTAGTTATGAATTAGTTCATCAGGTGGGGTGTTTGCATTTCATATGATTGACTGGGTTGATTGCCAGTACCCCATATGATCCCTCAAGCACCTGAGTGATCGCTGAGCACAGAGCAAGGAGTATTTTCTGAGCACAGCAAGATGTAGCAAAAAAAAATAAGTAAAAGCAAAGTAAAAATTTCATGTTTGTTCTTTAATCTTTTTTTTTTTTGCTTTTTGGGTCACACCTGGCGATGCATATGGGTTACTCCTGGCTCTGCACTCAGGAGGCGGTGCTCAGGGGAACATATGGGATGCTGGGAATCGAACCCGGGTCGGCCGCGTGCAAGGCAAATGCCCTACCCGCTGTGCTATCTCTCCAACCCCTTGTTCTTTAATCTAACAAGGCACAAATATGCACCTGTGACCAAGGGCAGTGTTCCAGCCCATTCAGGCAATATTACTGCCAAGGATCTTATGGACTGTGATTATGTGAGCCCAACCCACACAATCATTGGATGAGGAAAAGGGCAAAAGTCAAAATGTGATTCAATATTTCCTTTTAAAAAAGTCTTTAAAAAATTTAATCACCATGCTTTATATTGCTATTAATGTTAATGTTTCAAGAATACAGGACCAGAGAGATAGTACAGCAGGTAGGGCACCCTTCTTGCACAAGCTCAACCTGGGTTCAAACTCTGGCACCACCTCTGGTCCTCCAAGCCCCACTAGGAGTAATCCTTAAGCACAAAGTCAGCAGTAATTACCTCTGGGTGTGCTTCCAAAAAGGAACAACTGAAAAAAAAATTTTGCTTTTTGGGTCACACCTGGCAATGCACAGGGGTTACTCCTGGCTCTGCATTCAGGAATTATTCCTGGCAGTACTCAAGGGACCATATGGGATTCTGGAAATCAAACCTGGGTCTGCTATGTGCAAGGCAAACACCCTACCCACTGTGCTATCACCCCAGCTCCCAAAAAAATATTTTTAAGACTATAATGTTGCTTTACCACATCAACCCTCAGAGTAACAGTGCCTCTCAACTATGTCTTTGAATACCTTCTCTTCTGCACCCTACTATTTCCACTTAACAAACTCTGTTTTATAGGCAGACCTCAAAGTATGCTATCATTGGCCATTGTTAACTCCCTTGCTTTTTTTCTTTATACTCCACATATGAGACAGATAATTTGGGATTTCACCTCCTTTCCACAAACTTTACTCATCATGATATCTTCCAGGTTCACCTAAGTTGCACTGAAATAAAGAATTTCATTTTGTATTATAGCTGCATAGTATTCCATTGTGCACATAAACCATTGTATTATTGTCCACTCAACTGTTTTTGAACACTTGAGTTATTTCCAGATCTGTGCTATTGTGTTAGTGCTGCAATGAATACATGAGTGAAAATATCTTTTTCTGAATTAATGTTTTGTGCTCTTGCCTTCTCATGAAGTCTTAAAGATGCTTTAATGATGTTTCTCATATAATAGTTTCTAGACTAAAAGTAATAAGCATTACCTTTAAATTTTTACATTATATCTTCAAAGTAAATAGTAGCTGGACTGTAAAATATTTACAATGTTAAATAAATGCATCAGTGGATACATGTTTATATATATGTACATATATGTATGTGTGTATACATATATATCCATATTCATGAAGTATTGCTAGAACTTCCACAAGTAAAATGGATGATTCAAATAAAACAATAAGGAAAAACAAAACTTTTGTATACAAGTCACTGGAGAAGAAAATTCTTTTTAATGAGCTATATAGTAGCATGAGTTATTTCAAAGGAAGACATAAAACTGCTTTACTTTTCATAAAACTGCTTTTCAGCAATCATTATTTTGCTGATTACCAAGATCCTCATTGAGGCACACAAAAGTAAATACTTCAGTTTTCAATACTTTTTTACCCTAATCTATTTTTATCACAAATTTTCTAAACAGTCTGCAATATAATGGCAAATAGAGAAGGGACAGCTCTCACTTAGATTGACTAAGGTTTTTTTGACAAAATCAAATAATTTTATGCTTTGTTTTACCTTTTTATTTGACACTCACTCTCATGAAAGGAATTTCTTTCAGGTTAGGTGTCCTCAGAATTATAGACTGTAATTGTGAGTTGGGAGTTTTTCTGAGAGGAAACTAACATCTAATCTAAAATAGGATGTGTGTGTGCATATTTCCTCCCTTCATCTCTGCCTCCACTGTTACCTTGCTCCCGGATCCTCTTTTCCTGCTAATAACTAGAAAGCAGACAAGAATGAAAACAAGGCTCAGCTGGGCCAAGGAAAGTCACTAAGAATCTTTTACCAATACCCACAATGGGAGACTTCAAAAGACACTTGGTCCCACTTTTGTTTTCTGCCTTCCCTGTTGTATTCTGGGTCCATCTTTACAATATGATCAAGTCAAATAAAAGAATTGTGGAGGGAAAAATAGTTTGGGAGTCATCTAGATCCATGATCTGAATACATGTTGCCAAATTGGAGTTTATTACTTTGAACAGCATTTAAGCTCCCTTGGTTTTAGACCCGGATTATGCATGGGGCATATATATATATATATATATATATATATATATATATATATATCATTGGATGGTGACTAGGACAAAGAGAATGCGATATAAATGTAGCTAAGCTTGCAGCAAATCTTCCTTATTTGTAGTAAAATTATGAAGAAAAAAATATCAATGGGAAAAGAGAAACTTGATAAATTCACCAGAAACTGTATCTGAAAACCCAGAACTCTAAAGGAAACTTCTTTTCAAAAGACAGGAGACTTTTCAAAAGAGGAAACTTCTTTTTTTATTTTTTATTTTTTACTTTTTAAGATGTTTTTATTGAATCAATGTGAGATAGATCCTTACAAAGGTGTCCATACAGTGTTCCGACACCCATCCCTCCAACAGTGTTCATTTCCTCTAGAGAGAGAGGAAGCTTCTTTCGAAAATAAACTCCAGCAATAGAATGGTATTCTAACAACCTAAGAAAATGGGACTCTCGGGATTAGAGAGATAGTACAATAAGTAAAGCATTTACTTTGCTTGTGCTCCAGCCCCAGTACCACAAACTCCTGACCACCACCAGGAGTGACACCTTAGCACAGAGCCAGGACTCTCCCCTGAGCACCAAAATGTAAGAACCCTCCACCCGAAAGAGAAAAGAAACAAGTGGGAATTAATTTGGCTATTTGAAACATATCCCATTGTTGATTTAGGTCATTGGCCATTTTAAAATAAACTTCT